GTCTCCCATGACTTGCGATCGAAACATCTCTGGGCTCTTCCTCGGCCATCTTGGGGTACTCCTGTGCCTCCCTTGGGAGCGGTGCTGTTCGAGCCCTCAGGAAAACATCAGACGCCCTCCGCGATACTCGGGCCCCACGCCTAACATGGACTAGGGATCCGTGGATCCATGATCTACGGATCCCAGATCCACGGATCGGGGAAAATACACACCCAAACACGAGGCCATTGCCGCCTCACTGGGCGACGGAGCACGCCGACTCAGCACAGTCAACCCATATGATAAGGATGCGCGGTAAGGATGCAAGGGCTTTGGAGGGCCATGTCAACGTTCTTGGAACGAACTGGCAGGCGAAGGTTACCAAGGGAGGGCCGAAAGGGACAAGGATGTAAGGGTAGCCTTGGAAAGCGGCCCGTCCTTCCTATGCGGGTTGACAGTATAATGTGCTGGTGATTGCTGGACGACGAGGGGGCCCGAGCGGCGGACGACAACCTCGACAACGACGACGACGACGACGACAAGGACGGCGACGACAACGAGGATGCAAAAGCAACCCTGGAAAATGACCCATCCTTGCCATGCGGGGTGACCGTGTGGCCACGACACCCGTCGCGAACCCCGCGCGCCCTCGTCCGTGCGGGCGCCTCCTCGAGACAGCACGCGAGCACGTGGCAGCCCCCCGCTAAGGCGAAGCCAGGACGAAGGAAAAGTCGGGCGAGGACAGGATTGGGATCTCGGAGATGCAACGATCAATTCGGGTGAGGATAAATTCGGGCGGGGATTAGTGCAGTTCTCTGGGGACACATCGAGAATCTCGAATATAGGGCGTCACAGCCCTCTCAAAGCTCTCCAGAACGCTCTGAGAACGTTCCGAGATGCTCTGGAACGGATTTATCCTCGTCCTGACCCCGTCCCCCCAGGGCTCACAACCCAGCGGTCCACTCGGGCCGCCCGGTGGCTCCCAGAGGCTCCGCGCTCTCCGCACTGCACCAGTCGGGTGTAGCGGCGTTTCGGTCCGCGAGGTCTCGCAGGCGGGCAGGGCTCGTTCGAGCCAGCCCGAAGGAGGTGGTGGGAGAACAACTGACTGCATGAGCAACTCTCGAAAACCCCCGCGAAGTGCTTGGATCGGCGATGGACCCGCCTCTCTGGCGCGCGGAGTTCGCTAGGGGAGGCGCCGCAGGCGCCGCCAAGGAGGCCCACCGACGATCTTGGAAATCCGCTCGGGGCTCGGCAAATTTCTGTTTACGGCCGGACCTAGGACAGAATAACATCCCTCAAGAACACGAAGCCCTCCGGCGGCCAAACCGAAGAACACTCGAGGGCACCGTACCCCAGGATGCACAATAGCATCCAGCAAGCACGAAACACATGTGGGTATATAACCCAACGCCCACGATGATAAAACATGCCCCCCCTTAAACCCTGAGTGTTGATCCGTAACTGTTGAAATAGAGACCTGCATCCGTACATGCCAGCACCACGAGTTGCCCAGACGATACTAAAATATCATCCCAAACTTTCTGATCCCCCGGGGATCGTTATCAAGGGCATAAAAGTCACCCTCCCCGAGCCGACCTCGATCCTATGCCTCGGTCCGACCGTGCGTCTGCGCCGTTCTTGGTTGTTGCTCGATCACAGGGGGGCCCCGGGCCCAGCACGGGCCCACAGGGTCAAACAGCCCTCCGCTCGGCGGGGAAAGGCGGCGCCCCGCTCGTGGGCAAGGCCCGTGCTCTCCGGCAGACGGCGGGGTGCGGCAGGCTGAGAGAGGTGACGACCCCGGCGCTGGTTCCGGCGGCGCGCAGAAGGGGGGCAGGGGCGGACCGAGGTTCGAGGTCGATTCGGGGAGGGTGCCCTGATGTGCTTCGTGCTTGTTGGATGCTCTTATGCATCCTGGGGGAGGGTACCCTCGCGCGCTCTTCAGTCTGGCTGGCGGAGGGTCTCATGTTCCTGGAGGATGTTCTTCTGCCCCCAGGTCCAGCCGTAGGGGGAGGGGGGGGATGAACTATGAATAAAAGGAGGCTGCTTCTCAGAAGGCGCCGCCCCTACATCTACAGGCAAGGACGCGCCTTCCAAGAAGCAGCCTCCTTCTAAGAAGCCTTCCCCCCTCCTCCTACCCCCTTCTGCGCGTGGCTGAGTGACGACCCTGGCGCTGGTTCCTGACACCGCGGGGATCGTTCAACATGAAGCGATTGGCGGTGTCTGGATCGCTACTGGCCGGTTCTGGGCCGCCGCGTCGATACGACGTGAACATGACATACCCCGCAGAGTGAGCAACATGGAGGGAAGAGGAGGGCACAACGCCAGCAAAAGACATGGCCAGCTGTAGGACGTCGTTGTCCTCATCCTCCTCCTTCCACAGGTCGAGAGTCCGAAAATTCTGACGATGATCCGAGAATCTCCACAACAGATGATCTGCATCTCGCCGGCAGAGATTGTCCGAAAATCTGCCAACAAAGTGCCGCCCAACTCAGCGAACATAGAGTGTGCATGTGAAGAATTTAAGGCATGCTCTTTGAGATGTCGCACTGATGTGCAAAATGTTCACTCGCTCCTGCCACTGGCCTCGGCCACGTGTCCCACTCCGCGCCAAGACAGGAGTCGTGTGCCCCCTGGTGTCGCGGTGCTGGCGATGACTGCACACTCCCTGAGTAGCAACAGAAAGACAGCAGCCAAGCGTGGGGACTGGCTTTTACGGACTGCTGGGGGCCCGCTTGGGGGGGGCGCAATGGCCGCGCACCACAGGATGAAACTTGCGTCGGAACTGGTGCTGACGAGGTACCTGGCGGCGATGGAAAATGCGGTTTGGAATAGACATATCAGACGCTGCTTGCTCGTTGCCCCAGCATCATGGCACAAAGGGGAAACCAAGCGTGCTGTCGCGGCTGCTGGGCATGGGTCAGAGACTCGGTTGTGCTAGGTGGGCACCGTGGCGCATCGGCCACATTGCGGCGCGTATCACTCAAGGAGACTCCGCGCACCAAGACCCATACGTGGTAATACATCACAAGGCCAGGGGTAATGCAACGGAATGTGCTACTGGACGATTCCGTTCGACTGCCAACTACTGCCTCCAATTCCCTCAAGCACTACACATCTTCACAGCAGCAAAAAACTGAAGCGTTTATGTAGACATGCCCCGCGTGATGCATCCTGCAACAAATATTGCGGAATGAACGTCGCTCGATGCGTCGACATTCGTCTCGGAAATGCTGTGTGGTGCACTTGCTGTGTGAACACTCCAGTTCCATTCCAAATTCAATATGGATCCGGGGCAATCCCGGCAACCTGGATGCATTCAAACATGCACGATGACGCAGAGAAACACGACCTGAATAGCAGGAAGCGGAGAATGCCCGTACTGGGCCACGACGCTCGCATCGGCGAAGGTAACTTCGGCTCCGTTTCTTGGGCAATTACCTTCGCCAAGGCGACTGCAATGTAAGAGTTCTGAACGGATCGACGGCCAGGGAAACGCCACTCGCCGAATACACAAATACGCGCCGAGAAACAATATTTCTTCATTGTGGGCTATGGGGTCATGAGGGCAAATGTCCGCGCGCCCCGCGCACACACCTCAATGTCAACGAACCCGCGTGTGCGAACACATCTTCTCTCTGCAAGATGAAAACCTTTTTTTGCGTACGCCCGAACTGTAAGATTATTCGGATGTAGGTCGGACGCGATTAGCTAGGTGTGTCACGCGACATATCGCTGATCTTCCATCCCCCCCCCGTTCTGCTTCGCCCCCACTGGTGATGACAATGGGTTGCGCGGTCGCAATTCCCCACCTAGGCTCCCATCACAGGTTTCCCCGTGTTGCTCCAACGACTGGTGGATCAGATGCATTGGCTCGGAAACCTTCGCCAACTTGGTTGGTTTTGTTGCCTTGCTTTGTTTGGAAGGGCCCTCCCCAGGATGGTTGTTCCTTTCTGGATAACTGTATTTGAACAGGCCCTCCCCGGGTCGTTTCAGACTGTTCCTTACGGGTGTCGAAGAAAAACTCTCCCGGGTGTCATGGCATTGTTTCGCTACTGTGTTGAAGAGGCATCTGTTCGGAATGCCTGGTTTTGTTTCCTATTAGTGCCAAAGACGCAAGGCAACGTCAAGAAACGCCAGGCAACACCAAGCAACGCCAAGCAACGACACGCAGCGGCAAACAATACTTAGCAACGCCAAGCAACGCCAATCAATGCGAAACAGCGCCAAGCACTGCCAAGCAACGCGGACAGATGCCAATCAATGCCTAACAATGACAAGCAACGCCAGGAAATCCCAAGCGACGCCGAGCAACGCAGCGCAGTACAAAGCAATGCAGTTCAATGCCAGACGCTGCCGTTCAGGAGCAGGTCCCCCAATTGGGGTCGCGCTGGGCGCGTGCTTTTGTTGTTTTCCGCACGACCTTAGAATTGCACGCGCGCTGGTGTATATTGACCCACGAATACCAAAAGGCACCGAGACCGCTACTCCCCAGACCACTCCTGGGGCGCGTTCTGACAAGGATTTCGAAGCGAATGCCGCGGCAGAGACGAGGACTTCCCGGAAGGCCGAAAAAGGGGGAAACAGGCAAACAGCAGCGGTATAGACACCTTTTCCCTCCTTAGAGTTTCGCGACCCTTGAATGCAATCCTGTAACCGCATGCCATTGATGTTCAGCCCCTGGGGAACATAATATTCGGGGTCCAGGGGGAATAATAAACGATTAACGTTTCCCCAGCTGATCGGTTAATTTCGCTTTCCCAAGGAGTGGCGGCGCAACGTCGCGCTCGCCCTCCGCCCCTGCAGATGCCACCGCGCGCCTCCCTGCACCCGCGGCTGCCCCCCCCCACGCGGGCGCGCGCGCGCGCCCGCTGCGCAGGCGAGGACAGAGCCACCCCGAGCTCAACTGCGCACCGCTGCCAAGGGTCCCCGGCCCCCCTCCCCAGGGGTTCCCACGCAGACACACCCCAAACTGCAATATGAAACTGCAGCGAGGCACTAGCCCCGCGGCGGCCCAGACAGGCCCCTCGCTCTCCAGCGTGTCGCTGCGCAGCCAAGCAGACTCGAGCGCTTTCTGAACCTCGAAGCGCTCCAGCTCGGCCTTTCGTCGCCCCCGTCCTCGGAGCCGTCAAACGCCCCCGCGGATGGCCTCCAGCTGCGAGGTTCGGAATATGACCATGCGTCGCTTGGCCGCCCGGGCACCACCCCACTTCACGGTGGTCTCGATGCCCTTCGCGGCGTCCTCCAGGCGCCCCCAGGTGTGCACCGCGCAATTTGGCAAGAGGAGGTGGCGCGGCGGAGTCGTCGTCCGCCCACCACGCAAGTTGGCAGAGGAAGTGGCGTGGCGGAGTCGTCGCCCGCCTCCGCAGCCGCCGCCGCCGTCGCCATGAGTTCCCCCTCGAGCGTCGCCTCATCGCCGTGCTCCTCCTCGTGTTCGATCGTGCCCGCGAGCGCCTCCTCGGGCCGCCAGCTTTGGGGGCCGCCCGCCAGCCACTCTGCGGCGATCTCAGCACGGGTGTTCCACGTCGCCATGCTGGTGCCGCGCTGACTTCCGAGCTGTAGCTGATCACGCGTGGGCTCCGCTTCACCGCCAGCTCCTTCTCGCATCTGCCACTGCGTGCCAGCCGCGCCCTGCTTCGCCGCGAGCTCGCGCGTCGCGATCGTGCGATGATCGCTGAGCCCCTTTGTAAGAGGCAGGTCGCTGGGGGTGGTAGGCGCACTAGGCGTTTTTCGATGTCAGGAATCAAAGGCTTTCGATTTTGCCGTCACGGCAAACAGCGCGCTTGCTTTTGCTTCCGAACACACAAAAAACGAGTGACCACGACGTAGCAAACATGAACCTCCACGCCTGAAACCTAGCAAAACGACCGCGCATGTCGAAAACGGCGAGGAGATCAAACCTCGCCCGCGCACGACACTCGAGCGACGGACCGCAGCTGGCGAACCAAATTATGAGCGAAAACAGCCGCAGACGGCGATCGCGCATGAACTCTTTCATGATTTTGTACCACACAGAAAAGCTGCACCCGAGCAACACCTGAGACACTGAGAATCCCAATGTTCCTAGATCCAGATGCCAAAGAAATCTGATCGAGAAGGACCAACTCAAAACGACGCCATTCCCCGCAATCGGGGCCGCAACTCGGGCCCAAGGGGCCCAAGTTGCGGGCGGGCCACAACTTGGACCTGTTCATCGCCCTCCGCCCGCCTGGCGGAGGGCACGGACACAAGGAGGAGGGGGAGGAGGAGGAGGAGGAGGAGGAGGAGGAGGAGGAGGAGGAGGAGAAGAGGAGGAGGAGGAGGAGGAGGAGGAGGAGGGGGAGGAGGATGAGGAGGAGGAGAGGAGAAGGCAGGAGAGAGGAAAAAGGAAAACGAGGAGGCGGAGGAGGCGGGAGGAGGAGGACGGGCCCTCGGACCCTCGCGAGTCGCCCCAAGCACGCGGAGCGAGGCGGGGGAAGCGCGCGCGAAGCCCGATCGCGCGTTTGCGTGCCGTCTGGGGCCCACGGGGGCCCCGAATGGCGCGAGCGCGCGCTCGGCGCCTCAGTCGGCGCGCGAACGCGCGATCGCGGCTCTCCGCACGCCCCGCCGCCCCCCCCCGCCTCGCGCGGCTGCCCCCTGCTACCCCGGGCTACCCCCCCGCTACCCCTCAATCTCAAATTTTCGGTGAAGCGGGCGGCCCCCGGCTGCCCCCGGCCACCCCGGGCAACCCCCAGCCACCTTCTGGCCACCCCCCCGCCTCAGCGCTCGCCGCCGCGCCGCGCGCCGAGAGCCTGCGACGCGGCGGCGGTCGCGGCGGGGGGGGCCTAAAACGGCCTCGGGAGGCCGCAGCGGCCGCCGCTGGGCTCTCTGGTGGGCTCGGAGGGCTCCGGGAACTTTCGCAACGCCTCGGGGTGCCTCGGGAAATTTCGGAAGGCATCGGCATACTTCGGAAAGCAACGAAAACCTTGCGGAAGGCCTCGGGGGGGTTCGGAAACCTTCGACAGGCATCGGAAATCCTTCGGCAAGCTTTGGGGGACTTCGGAAACTTTCGAAAAGCTTCGGGGAGATCTGCAGAACGAGCTCGGAAGGCCGCGCGCGACTGCCGACGCGACCGCGCGCTCCCTTTCCGCCGAAACAGCACTTCCCCCCCGCCGCCCCCCTACCACCCACTGCGCCAGAAAACGGGGGAGGGCTGTAACATATTGCATAACAATGCAAAGTGTTGATGATGCGGCTGTTTTTTTCCTGCTGTACTCCATTTATTGACACGCGCGGAAAAAAAGGTTTAAGAACGTCGCTAACATATAAGCGGCTGACGAAAGTGCGGCGCGAACCTAAAGCTCCAAACGGATTCGGCGCTAACCTCGCCGAAAGCGGGGCGCTAACCTAACCGAAGCTGCGGCGCTAACCTAACGATAGTGTATGATAAGTGGCACGATGTGCTACTTACTAGTGTAAGTTTAACGATATCATATAGAACGGAACCATATGTGTCATCATAGTTTAACGATGTCATTATTGTGTCACCCCCGCTTTCCCTATACCCCCCCTTTTTTCCTATGCTATTTGTCGCCCACCACCCCCCGGCGACCTGCTTTTTTCATGCGAGGGGAAAGGCGGCGCCGCTAGCAGAGGATCGCGGCCGCCCAGCTCCGCCCCGAATCTCGCCGTCGCGCACCCCGTCGGCCCCAGCGACATCGGCAGCTTCCGCGGCAGCGGCGCCCGCGCCCGCGCGCGGGATGGCCGAGTCGGGCGGGGGTTCGGCCAATGTCCGCGCGGGCGGGGCGCCGTCCTCAGCGGGCCGGCCCGAGCCAGGGACATTCACCCCGCCCGCGGCGAGGCCGGCCGCCGACAGCGCGGGGCGCGCCGCGTGCCTGGGCCCCATCCCTGGCTTGGCGTTGCGAGCACGCCGTCGCCGTCCCCAGCGGCCAGGGCGCCAACGCCGCGTGGAACGCCACGTTCCCCCGCAGCGTGTCGACGGGCGAGTCGATGTCCTTGCCGTGCACCACGTCGTTTCTAGGTGCACTGCAACCACCGCCAGGCGCTCCGCCGTGTCGGGCCCCCCCAGGGACTCCACCAACTTCTCGTAGCGACTTCGCCAGAAGCGCACCGCCCGCTGCAGGTCGTGGGCGAGCACGTCCCCCGACCAACGGGCCCGCGCCTGGCCAGCTCGGCGCCGCTGCCGCCATGTCGCACACGGGCTGCCCACATCGCCGCCAGCGGCGGCCTCCCGCGAGGGGGCCGCCTCCCGCGCCATCACAAACCGCACTTGCCGCCCGATTGAAGCTGGCCCGAAAGCTTGAGCCAAAATGGCTAGGGACGGCGGGTTGGATGATGACAATGATGGTGGTGGTGATAACGATGAGGATGCTGCTAATGGTGATGGTGCTGATGATGATGACGATGGTGATGATGACGGTGACGGTGACGGTGACGGTGACGATGATGATGATGATGACGATGACGATCCTAGGCGCTCCTCCAAATCCTCGTTCTGGTCCTTGGCACTCCTCGATGTGGCCCTTGGCGCTCCTAGAGATCGGTCGCGAACCGTTACCCGCACATTCCTGACTTGGGAAGGATTGATATACTTAGAATCCCATAGCCCTGCCAACCGTTCCCGACTCGGGAAGAACTGAGGAAGTGAGACTACAATATACCTGCAAGACGATCGTGTTTAGGAAAGCTGAACTGGGGAGAATCCCATAGCCCTGCCACGCGTTCGTGACTTGCAAAAGTTGGTATCGTGAGACTCCCATCGCCATGCCACACGTATTTGATGATGCTGCTAGTCAACATAAGAAAATTGCAATTACGACTCCAAACGCTCTCCCGCAATAGTAAAGTTCCGCCTTGCCGCCCCTCTCCCCTGACCAAATTTGAAGTGGCCGGGGAAAAGAAACTGTCAGTAGTGAAAATGGGGAGGGGAGTCCTTGATTGTCCTGGGGCCGCGGTTACTCGTTCCGCCCACTCCGCCTTTCATCTCCCCCACTTCCCTCTGCCGCGCTCCTGCTGACCGCCTTGGTCCCTCCCCTTCTTGCCCTGCACCTTACCAATGCCTTGAGCCATGGGAAAGCGTGCGGGAGCACACCCGCGAGGAAACGAGGCTCACCCCGAGGGGGGGCGCGGCGAATTCGACGGCCTGGGCGGGCCAAAAGCGTCCTAGAATCTCTCGCGAAAGGTTCTTGGTGCCTGTGCATGGGAGGCAAAATGTCTTACTGGTACTGTTCGCCCCCCTCGTAGGCGCACGTCCGAACTGACCATAGAGCATGCACTGTAGGACTTTACCCAAGCGGTATGTCCAGAAAGCACCCACCGGCAAGTGCTATTAGATTCCCTGGGAGGCTGGCGCTCTACATCGTATACGTATCTAGTGAGACCGAGCGCACTCTACGTCGAGCGAACGCGCGGCGGCCCCTGGGATTCCTAGAAGCCAAAGCGTCCTCTCTACGGGCGGGGGGAAGGCCACTATGGGTGGGTCGGGCCCCCGTGTGGGGGTCTGCCCCCCCCGTCCCCGCATCCTCCTACGTTCGTTACTGCTACGGGGGGGGGGGGGGAAGGCGACCCCCCCGTGACGGACAAGACATGCTCAAGGAGCTCTAGAGGACACAACCTCCCTCCGGGGCATTCCATCCGCGGCGTGTGTCAAAACTGCTGGACGTGGCCGAAAATCTGCGAAACGACCGCCACAACTTCAGACGAAACCTCCAGGACGCGACCCACACGGCCACCAAGGCTTTCCAGACCGCCAATTGAGCTCCAACAAACTTCCGGCAAGCCCGAAGGCCGCCGCAAAACAGTTCCAAGTGGCCACGGACCCTCCCAAAGATGCCCCGGATGTGTCTATGTCTACGTAACTGCTTCGGTTGCTCTGGGATGTTCAAAAAAGTGTTCTGATTTCACCCAAATGATTTGTTTCAGCCAACGCAGTACTGAAAACTCCTCCAGGCGGGCCCGCACAAACCTGCGTGGGATGATACGCCTCCGACAAGCCTTCGACAACTCAGGGCATCCAACCGCTTCTGCTCGGTTTGGCTCCAGCTCGGTACCAATCGGTGGCGTCTGCGCCTGCGACTGGCGAGGGGCTGAATGGGCCTGCCGAGAAACCGAAACAATCGATTTGATCCGCGACCTTCAGTCAGGACCCTGCGCAATGCACGGATAAAACCATCCCAAGCCCGGAGCGCGACAGGAGCGTCCCAGCATGGGTGGAGAAAGGCGAAGATGGAAGCGATGCTGTGAACAGATGATGCCATAGTTCCG